GCCCGCCTTTCCCCCCCCGCCCCCTTTCACACGCCACCCGAAGACACGCGTATGGCCCCGCCGGCGTCCGGGCTCCGTGGTTGCGAGGGTGTGGGGGCTCGCCGCAAGGGACGAGAGGCGACAGGTTTGCGCGGCTCAGGTCGCGCTGGGTCTCCGCGGAAGGGTGGCCAGAGCTTGGCCTGCCGCCTGCCTTGCCTTCTTCGGCGGCGAGAGCGCTCCTTGGGGGACACCGCGGCGACGCTCCTGCTACGAAAGGGGACACTCCGGGAAAGTCTCCCAGGGATCCCCCGCCACCCTCGAGCTCTCTCGCTTTGGACAAGACCCCCCCGAGACAGACCAGGAGAATAAGCTCTCGGAAGGGTCTCCCTTCCCTTTTTCCATGACAACATCCCTCCGCCACCGCCGCTTTTTTTCTGGATACATATACTGTATAATGTCTAGCGAACGGTCTATACTCTATATAACTAAAATAAAGAATAAAATTAAGGACGAGTTTATTTATTGTAAGACATATTTATTGTCTGTACGTAGACAGAATGAGATCACAACGTGAATCGTGACTGCAAGCCAATTAATGTGTGTGTAATACACAGACGTAAGACGCACACATTTGCACGCGCGTATGTACTTTTTAATTTTAATCCAGTGTTTCTTTTGCGATTTAAAAAGTAAAGGCTATACGCGGTGGTTTAGCGCCCTCTGCTGACAATCAGACTCAATTTCAGGAGACGAGCGTGGCTGATATCTTGATTGTGTGTTACGTGCTGTCAAGTCTGAACCGGCTTGTAAAGATCCTAACAGGACTTTCAAGTTAAGGAGTGTTTCCAGCCCCCCCTCCCACCAAGTTTCGGGAGTTTCCGTGGCCGACTGCGCATTCAAACGCAGATGTTCTTAGTCCCTCACTGTTTCCACTGCACCACTCTAGATAATTCAATACAGTGTCTTCATTAGACTACTAGCAACATAAACTAGCTTTTGAGTCGACTCTTGTAGGTAGCTGTCTTCACCAGGCTGAGCATTACAGAGCTGGAGCTGGTGCAGAAGAAACATTAAAATTCCATTAGTCCCTCACTGTTTCCACTGCACCACTTTAGATAATTCAATACAGTATCTTTATTAGACTACTAGCAACATAAGCTGGCTTTTGAGTCGACTCTTGTACGTAGCTGTCTTCACCAGGCTGGGCATTACAGAGCTGGAGCTGGTGCAGAAGAAACATTAAAATTCCAAAATCCATAGCCAGATGTGCAGGTCAAGCTTCCTTGTTTAATTCTACTTCCAAAATGGGGGTCCAGCTTAGGCAGTGCTGGAACCACCAAAGGGAACTCATTCTGCTCTACATCTGAAACCTACCACGTCCAGGTTGATTCTCTGCCTCTGATTTTGGAACTAAATTCACAGATGAGATGTGCAGGTCAAGCTTCCTTGTTTAATTCTACTTCCAAAATGGGGGTCCAGCACCAGCTTAGGCGGTGCTGGACCCACCAAAGGGAACTCATTCTGCTCTACATCTGAAACCTACCACGTCCAGGTTGATTCTCTGCCTCTGATTTTGGAACTAAATTCAAATGACAAAACCTGGCCTGGACATCTGGCCATGGATTTTGGAACATTATTGTTATTTCCACACCACATCAGGTCTGTAATACCCAGTAGGGGGAAAATCCCTGCAGAGTACAAAACTAGATTCTGTTTGTAGTATTTTAGTAATAAAATTAAAATATCACCACCAAAGGGAACTCATTCTGCTCTACATCTGAAACCTACCACGTCCAGGTTGATTCTCTGCCTCTGATTTTGGAACTAAATTCAAATGACAAAACCTGGCCTGGACATCTGGCCATGGATTTTGGAACATTATTGTTATTTCCACACCACATCAGGTCTGTAATACCCAGTAGGGGGAAAATCCCTGCAGAGTACAAAACTAGATTCTGTTTGTAGTATTTTAGTAATCAAATTAAAATTTGATTTAGTAATCAAATTACTATTGTCTTTGGGTTTTATACAAATGGCATGCAGCCTTATGTTTTCTTGTCAGTTACAAGCGAAACCTTGTTTTACTACAAAAACTAATTGCAGTGCAATCCAGACTCAAAGATATTGTCAATCAGAATTGACAATACAGGACTGAATGGCTCAATGATTTTGCTTTAGGATGAAGTAGCCCTCCGATGTTCCCATGATATCCTATGCTTGGGCAGTACCAGGGATCAAAGCTGAAAGGATGGAAACCTGTTACCCATTCTTGGTCATCAGCTGGGCTGCTGGAGGATGGGAACGGTAGTGTTTCCCCACCCTCACCATTATGTGCTTGTGTACTGTACTGGCTCTAATGTTGGAGCTATATTATAATAAACCAGTGATAGGGAACATGGGTCTTTAATGTTGCTGGACTGCAATCCACATCATCCATCACCACTGACAATGCTGAGTAGGGCTGGTGGGAGTTGTAATCCACACACCTCTGGATCGGCCACATGTTGTCCCCACCATGTGAAAGATACTCTTCTAGATGTGTGACTGTATGATTTGGGATACCCCAATGCTTATTCTACAGTGTACCATTTCATTTCCTTAGTTCTTTCTAGGTTGTTGGCTACAATTGACCCGAACATGTAAGATAGACAGTAGCTTGCATCCAAATAAAAGTGTTGGAATGACACAGTGGAAATCTTTCTTTCTTTCTTTCTCGCCCTTCTATTCCTCCTAACTTGGGGGGGGCACTACTCTGGGTGGTCATTACAATATATTATAACCCCTGACTGCCCATCCACCATTCCCCAGACAATAAAGCCCAAACTCCTAAAACAAAGTAAACATATAGGTCCCAAACTCATAAAACAAATGAAGATATTGGTTATTGTGGGTTTTTCGGGCTCTTTGGCCTTGTTCTGAAGGTTGTTCTTCCTGACATTTCGCCAGTCTCTGTGGCCGGCATCTTCAGAGAACAGCACTCGGTGTTGTCAGAGTGCTATCCTCTGAAGATGCCGGCCACAGAGACTGGCGAAACGTCAGGAAGAACAACCTTCAGAACACAGCCAAAGAGCCCAAAAAAACCACAACAACCATTAGATCCCGGCCGTAAAAGCCTTTGCGAATATGAAGATATTATTCTCAACACAGGTTGTGTGATCTGGGAAAGTTGAAAGTTTATTATGCAACCCACATGCAATTTTGTTCTTGTTGAAGAAACAAATTTTGGTTAGCATAAGTATGATGGTGGTGCACTTTACGGTGTCCTGTGTCCAAATTGATCATTACACTGGATATGATTTCAGTGCCACCTAGTAGAGATGTAGAGGGGTAAGTGTATGACATCACAGAACTGTAGCTGAAGGGACTTGCAAGGGCCCAGAAACTCAGGTTTCTCACCCTTGACCATCCAAATTAAAGATTTCAAATGAAAGTCTCCTCTACCTTCCAAGACAGGCCATTTCACAAAGAACAGTTCTTTCCATCAGGAAATTCTAATGATGAGGTGGAATCTCCTCTCTTGTAACTTAAATCCATAGGTCCAGGTCCTACCTTCTAGAGTGAAACAAAACAAGTTTGCCAAGAGGTTTTTAAACAGCTGGCTATTACTATTGTGTCACCTCCCTCTAACCTGTTTTTCAGAGAGGTTGGTTTCCATTACCTTTACCAACTTGATTGTTTTCCTCTGGATTTGTTCCATGTTTTCAATACTGTACCCTGCTTAAAAACTGGACTATTCCAATGTGATTATTTGTTGTTGTTTAGTCGTTGTGTCTGACTCTTCATGACCCCATGGAAGAGAGCACGCCAGGCCCTCCTGTCTTCCACTGCCTTCCGGATTTGGGTCAAATTCATGTTGGTAGCTTCAATAACACTGCCCAACCATCTTATCCTCTGTCGTCCCCTTCTCCTCTTGCCCTCACACTTTCCTAACATCAGGGGCTTTTCCAGGGAGTCTTCTCTTCTCATCAGATGGCACTCAGGATTGATTTCCTTTAGAATTGATAGGTTTGTTCTCTTTGCAGTCCAGGGGGGCTCACAAGAGTGTGATTATACTACCTCTGTATTAGCACTATACTGATTGTAATTAAAGGCTTATTTCCAGGAATTAAAGATATATGAATGGGACACATCTAATCCCAAAAATATTGTGTGATTAGCATTATGATGGATCTAATGCAACATTATAATTTGTAGCTTTTTATTTTAATGTCATAATCCTACAATCAGTGATGCCCATGTTAAATGCAATTATGTACTGTAAATTCCAGAAGTAAATTGCTGCTACAAGTCACTGCTTGTTTGACTAGCAGCAATTTACTTCTGCAGATGGCCAGAAATACTGTAATTTTAATGACTTATGGCATTTAAAAAAACTTAATTATAAACAGCCTTAGACTGTAATTCTGAAACAAAGGTAAGCATATTAAAAAGTTCAATAACTAGTCCATGAAAACCCATGGGCTGAGGGTGAAGGCCAGGTATGCTTGCATGGATATTTTGCTGAGTTTTTTTCCTGGTATTTCTTTTTGTCTCCCCCACCACATGGCCTGGAGGTGGGGCCTAGGATAGGACTTTCTGCTTTGAATGAGCATGTCCCAGGACCCTGGACCCTTTTCCCTAGGAAGCTGGGCTGAGGGTGAAAGCCAGGTATGCTTGCATGGATATTTTGCTGAGTTTTTTTCCTGGTATTTCATTTTGTCTCCCCCACCACATGGCCTGGAGGTGGGGCCTAGGGGGTGGAGCTTTCTGATTCTGTCTCTGGCCCTAGTATGGTAAATAGGAAAGCCAATTAGATTTGCACACA